GAATCAAAATGAGAGACCCTTTTAAAGAATATGGTATAGAAGTATCATATCCCTCCAAACCCAAAGCTCAAAATTCAACTAATGTCATATCTCAACTTGACAATAAAAAAATTTGTCAAATATATATATCTAAAAGGTTTTCAGAAAACACTGTTGCTTATGTTGCGACAGTCAGAAAACACTCAACTAGAAAATTACTACACAAGCTTAAACCACAAGCTAGCAATAAAACTATTCACAACTACTCAACTAGTCCTTGAGAGCAAAGGAACCACTTGTGTCAACCCACGTTCCCTTGTTTTTGTTGACCTTAGTATTAGTACAGATTGTTCATCATCAGAAATAATAGCTAACTCTGACAGAGAGTTTAAGTGCACTCCATAAGCTTCGGGAACTACTTTTACTATTTTCTTGTCAGGGGCATTGTTCATTTCACTCCTAACAAAGGAATCAGTGAGATTTACATGAAGTGGAGAAAAAGGAACCATCACCTGCTCGAGGAGGTGCAACTATGGGAGAAATAGCTAGGGACGAACTGATACCAAAAGCAGCATTTCAACAAAAGCATCAAAGCAAGCAAGTGAGAAACAATGTTTTGAGAAAAGGCAAGAACTGTTTCTAGCTATAACTTATTGTATGTCAAACCAGCTAAGATGAACAGCATGGTAATAACATAAAAAACTTGATAAAAATTTTATCCTACTAAACTAAATTAAAATGGACATAACTTCATATTGACCCATGACATAACAATCTTTTGTAACATTTTCAATTTCATGGTCTTCTCCTCCCTTTATTCTAATTCCTTTTCCTTATGAACTACTAAAATCTGCTCAACAATTTTCAACTAACTGTTAGAGCCTACCCTTACTCCAACATGATCTATGGTCTAACTAGGTTCAATTATATATGTAAATATACACTCACTCAAGTGTACTTTTTAATAAATATCTTTAAGTGTTAAGGTAATTTTATAAACTCTCCCATTCCCTTATCCTTCTCTCTTCATCTGTCTATATTTCGAATCTATTGACTTTCGTTCCTATTCATTTTATAATATAAAATGGTTAGGGAAAAAACTTACTTTTCCGTATGAATCCACTTTTCTCTTCTTGAATCTACAAAGTGGAATTCTGAATCCACTCAGTCCCAAACTTTCATTTCCTTTCACCGGATTCTTTTACTTAAAAAACACAAGCTTCACCAACAGTTTAGTTTAATTGCTACTCCTGAACCACTTTCTTGCCCTGATCAGTAAATTTCCTGTCCTTTTCGAACACTGGCTTTTCCAGAACACAAAATCCAAAACATCTTAAAAATTTGTGAACAATATTTGAGGCTTTTCAAAATTTTATTGCTTCATTTATCAAAAACTAATGTGTACCACTTAAATCCAACCATCTAGCCCTAACTTATACTTAAGGTGGGGTAGGTAAGAGGTAATGATCTCAATCATCATAGTAAACTCTCTTATCCTTAAATTTTGAAATGTGACCTTCCAACTTGCAAACTATAAGGCTTCAAATTCTACCATACATTGGCTTTACCTCCCTTCCAAGCATGAGGTTGATGTCAGTTGGGTAAAAATCTGTAGTTATAGTTCACCTTTTACTAAAAAATAATTATAATCATGAAGGAAAAAAAAAAGAGAAAGAACAAGGATGCTCCAACCTAAAGTAGCCATTTAGGTATTTTAGAGTAGTGATTGGACTACAAATTTATGGGTGAGGTTTGATAGTAGGCAACAAGATACGGGTATCACAAACATTATTATGATAGGCTTTGAAATCATCATACAAAGTGGTTTTAGGACTAACTCAATCCTACAAAATTAATTTGTAAGATGAAATTTATATTCACTTATATATTATAGTTTGATTATGGCTCTAATCGATGTGGAATCTTAAACAAACTGAGAATTATAGATTAATGTTTTTAGAAGATCTATTTAATAGGATAATTTGTTAAACATAAGTTCTTCCATACACATGAATCAAGGGATCAAACCAAATGACTATTAGTCTATTATAAGAATATAATATTAACCCTTTTCTCTAATTGTTCTACTTTAAACCAAATAGTGCCTTCAGGTGGCTTGTACATTGTTTTCTCCATTTTGAAAAACAAGTATCTATCTCACTTATGTGCTAGTTATATCTGACAGAAAATTAGCATTAGCAATTTGTAAAGTGAGTTCAACTTCATCCTGCATCTTTCCAATGTCAGGAAAAGATCACACATTGGACAACAATTGCAAGTTGAACAAAATAAATAAATTAGAACGAGTACAAGTGTAAAATTGAGTTAAATGAGGTGTGAAATTTCCTTATTACTGTGATAGATCTCTCTCTTGTGTTTTATCCCCTCTTATTCCAAATACACAAATACATGATATGTTAATAGCGTTCAAATAAATATATGACCAATTTTACTTTAGAGGATCCAATAATTTTATTTTATTTTATTTTCAAATTGAGTACCTAGTAAATTAAACATTTTGGTTTAAGTTCCTTGTGTTACCTGAGCCAATTCTAGTATCTATGTTTTTGTAAAGTTGAAAACGTGCCACGTGATCTAAAGTGTTGAGAAATTATATGCATTAAATCCTTTATGTGATTTGTACTAACAAGATATGTCACCCATATGATAGATAACATATCGATTTTTATGATAAAAAATAAGTTGAGGGACCAAAAGAAAATTTTCTAAAAATATTTTAGAGGTAGGTAGTAGGGACAAACTACAAATAAATACTATGTAAGGACTTAAACAAAAAATTTATAACTTATTAGGTACCTAATTTGAAAAATGAAATTTTTGGGTACACAAACGAAAACCGGTTAAAGACTTTGAAACTTATTTAAAGATTTCATAATTATCCTACCCAATGTTCATTTGTCTCTTCCCCCTAGTGTGTTAGTAGTACAATTCAAATAAAATTTTATGCCAAATTCTTCATTCTCCTTTTTGTTTTCTAAGCCAATCTTTCCTTGTTCCAATGTATTATTAGTAGTACAATTTCTCATCGAATAGACTTAATTGCATTGACTTTGCATAAAAATATCGATAATCGTACTTGCGAATAAAATTACATTTATTTATGATTTTATATTATATATTTATATGCTGATATATGTTCTTTTATTAAAAAATGATACACTATCTATTTTATGTGTGGACAATAAAGGTAACAGTAGTATTGTTTTTTAATAGCTAACTTCAAAATAAGCTACTCCATCATTAAAAAAGTGTTGATTAGTAGTAGGATTCTAATAAAATTTCATGTTAAATTCTTCATTTGCTTTTACATTTTACTTTTTTCCTTTAAGTTGAATCACTCATTGACTAATGATGATGAATTATTTCTGTTCAAATGAGTGCTAGCGGTAACATACAGTGTGAATTTAATATATAACTCTGTATGAAGAAAACTACAGTATATATCTATTCAGGTAAGGACACTATTTATAACATTCATGAATATGTCACCTAGATATTTACATCCATTTTTCTTAAAGTTAGCATTAATTAAGCACACTTGTAATTAAAAACTTACACGTTAATACATGCAGTTTTTAAAATTTAGATATACCTCACCTATTTACAATAGTGTAATAAAAAAGTCAGACGTTAATTTAAAGTTAGAATTATTTAGAAGAAAAAGTAGTTAAAATTTGATTATATTTTAGGAAAAAAAAGTGTAATTATACACCCACCTAGGACTCTTAACAAGAAGAAAAAGGTAAGTGTAAGAAAAGTAGATATGATTTTTGAATTAAAAATTACTAGCATTAGCATTTTTCTTAAAAAAAAGAAAAGGGTGGTGTGTGTGATTATCCTTAAAGAAATAAAATGTAAATGTGACATGTCCTTTTTTTCATTTTAGTTTGTAAATAAGTTGGTTTATGGTAGGAGAGTGAAGTTGTGGGACGTGCATGGAGGTTTGAGAAGATGAAAAAGGTCCTGAAAGAGTGGTTTTGTTATCCAATAAGCATTTTGTGGTTAATTTCGTCGCAGAAGCTGACAATGCGGGGATTAGAATCATGCCATGTCATGTGCAGGTTGGGGAGTGAAATAATGAATTGGGATCTTAAAGCCATTTTGTTTTGGTTTTGGCACAAAAGTGATTAAGCTTACTACTACACATGGTGTTTGTTGTGTTTGCCACAAAAAAAGGTTACACTTGGCACGGACTCACCGATGCCAGAGGGAAAGGGAACCAAGGACAAGGAGAGAACAAAAATGGAGACAAGCAGTGGAAACCCTATCACGCCAATCCATGCACCAGTAAGACAAAAAAAAAACAGATAGCATCCCATAAAACTATGCTCTCTGCCCAACTTTTTTATGCTTACCAAGAAAGCAAACGGCTCCTGGTATTGCACAATGCACTCATTCAACACATCAATCCATGACCACTCTCTTTCAAATTCATTAAATAAATAAACCAAACACTCACTCTCTCTCTCTCTCTCTCTCTCACACACACACACACACACATTATTAAATACCATCCAAGGTTTACCAATGGCAAAGCACAAACATATCAACGGGTAAGAAAAAATATGACAGCTAATTAACTGCTCCTCCTCTGTCATATAATAAGTATCATGTAAGACAAAAGTAAAGTCTAACTGTTTTTTATTTTCAATGTAATACTATTATTTACCTTCTATTTATACTTTCAAGAATATTTTAAAATATTGTTGTTGTACTACATAGTTTGCAATAATGAATGGTTACTAACAAGGTTAGTTTTGTTAAAAAACATTGAAAGACAGTTAATATGGGAGGGAGGACTATCTATGTACCAATCGCAAACAATATTAACAGGAAATAAAAATGACAGCAAATTAACGACTACATACAGAAACAAAAAGTAAAAAGAATAGAATCGAAAATGGCAAGAATAACATGGAAAGTAAAACAAAATAAAAAGATGAAGGGAGTTTATTTCTGTCTTACCAGGAAGAAAAGAAACGTGGTGTTTCTTGAGGAACTTAGTTCTTTCCCTTGCCCTTGTGGTCAGAATGCCTTGTTCCATCGCCATAGCAAAGTTGCAAGCGGCCATCGAAGACGGGAGAGAACTGAAGGTGGTGGTGGTGGTTATTATTGTTGTTGTCAATGGTTGGAGGAGCAGAAGAAGGAGCAGGAGCTCCGATAAAGAAAGGTAGATTGGATGATCCGTCTAAAGGTTGAAACCTCTGGAGGTGAGGCAAAAAGGACGGAGAATTGGACTGAAGGGTCCCCCTATTGTAACCAGCAAGGCCCGAAGAGATGCTGAAGCTGAGGTTGTAATTGTCACCCCCGCTGGGCTGAGAAGCAGAAGAAGAAGAAGTGACCACAGCTGGCATGTTAAGGTGGTCTCGCATGAAGGAAAAATGCTGCAGCTGATCCGAGTGATTTTCTCCACTGAATGGTGAGATGGGAAGGGCATGTCCAAGTTGGAACTGTCCTGAAGAAGATTGGTGTTGGTGTTGGTGTTGGTGTTGTTGTTGAGTTCTTGCAGATGATGAAGAAGGCCCCACCAAGAGGCCTCCTGAGCTTAAGTAGTCCATAGGTGTCACTAGTGAAGACCAATGTTGTTGTTGTCTTCCCTTGTTGAATAGGTTGGCCTCATCATGGCCCTCATGGATCTGATGAACTGATGATCCATTAGGACTTGCTGCAGTGGTGGGATTAACTGTTACTGTGCTCCCAATCCCACCGGTGAGAAGCTCAGTGAAGGAAGCAGTGTGAGACATATTGTGTTGGTGGTGGTGGTGGTGGTGGTGATGTGCAATGCCAGAATCGTTCTCTTTCTCTTTCTCTTTCTCTTTCTCCTTGTCTTTATCTTTCCCCTTCTCTTTTGCTGCTCTCTCCCTTGCCCTCTCCCTTGCCTTCACACGGTTCACACGGATCTCAGACCTTGAGAGGGACAAGCCAGACCCTTTGCTTGTCTCGGAAGTGCTGCTACAAGCAGATTTGGAGAGAGAGAGGTTCTGGCTTTGCTGGAGGAAATTGGTGTCTCCATCTGCATCATCAAAGGCCTGTGATTGACCACCACGCTGACCACTAGTTGGCCTTTTCTCATCACTTGGCTGCTTAGGGGTATCAGGGAAGGGGTTGTTGAGAGAAGGAAGCTCTGAGATAGCATCTGAAGCAGCTTGGATTAACCACTCCACAGCCTTACTAGGTTGGTCATAGCCCAAGCGATCTTGAAGGTCATAGAACTGAATGGCTGTGGTCACAGAGAGTCTAACCCTTCTGTCTCTTAACCCCTTTGAGGTCATCACCTTGCTGTGCCTGTCTTTGCCACCAGATGCTCGAGACACCCTTATGATTCTCGAAGAGTGGTGCCAACTACTTTGGAAATGGTTTGTGCTAGCTTCACTTCCTCCTCCTCCTCCTCCACCACCAATACCTCTTCTTCTTATGTCTCCTTCTTCTTCCTCCTCTTGATATTGGTCGCTCCTTCCATTTCCAACCCTAGGGAACTTACATGCTGCCTGTGCTTGAATCTCATCCTCCTCCATATCACAGACACGCCTTTTTTCCAAGCTACACACCCCACTTGGTCGTCTTCTCTAATCCCACAGAAAGTACTGGAGAGAGAATAGAAGAGTAGAAAAATAGAGTCAAAGGTGGGAATGGATGATAGAGTGCACAGAAGGTGGGGTTTTTGTTTTTGCTATGTGCGTTGCATTGATGACTATGATTCAGAATCAGAGAGTACTTTGGCCGTGTAGTGATAAAAAGGCCTTTTATTTACGCACCGATATATCGCGGTCCGAGTCAGAAGCCCTTGTTAAAGCTTTTCCCAATCGCAGAAAGAAAAGAAAGCCTTTCAAAAGCAAAAGACTGAGTAGGTCACAGAGCCTCAGCCTCAGCTCCTGCAAACCAAAAGCAACACCACACCCGCAACCAAAAAAAAAAATTAAATAAAAATTATTACCGTCATCCCAAAAACAAGAGAAGTTTGTTTATTTTGTACTTGGTTATAAAAATAAATAAAATAAAATAAAATAAAGCCATCAGAACATTCTCAGGTTCACTTATTACACAGCAGATAGGATCTGAGCCTGACCATGTTGCTTAACACACAGCACCTTAAAAAGTATAAGCCTGAACGTTTTATTAAAAACCATCAAATGTTAAGAAAAGGTATAACACAAATTATGCTTGGAAACTCCTACATATATGTATGTATATATATGTATATATGTACCTACCTTTGATCCAAGTCTTCGGGCTTTGTTTTTAAGCTAAACCAGCAAACTTTGCAAATGGGTTGCGGATCTGCACCAAACTCCTTTTGGCTTCAGCTTGTATTTGTTTGTTTATAGCTTTTTCCTGTCCTTAAAAATAGCAGACATTATGCAAATCTCATTAGAAGGCACAATAACTTTTTCATTAAGGCGTAGTTTGGAAAGTTACAATTATTCTTTATCATAAATTAAAGAGGTTGAGGCTTGTTACTTTGAACATTGTTGGATCGGGTTCTGTGGAAGGTGTTAAGGTCCGGAGAATAGAAAGGGAAAAGAAAACAAAGCCTGTGGTAGTTGTTCCCACACCTCACAGATCTGTGAACCTGGAGTTCCATTAATGGAACAAAACCAAAAGGGAAAATGAAATTCAGAACCTGCAAATATCAACTCATTAAAACACATTATTGCATTTTCAGATCAGTTCCACCGTTTTGTCAACGGCCAAAACAACCTTCCATCATTTGCAAGAAATTCAAACTCATTAAACCAAAATAAATAGGAAGGAAAAAAGGTAGCTTGCGAAGGAAAAAGGCTAAGAGAGTAGTAGACCTTTGCTGTGTTATTTCAGGAATTGTTGAATTTTTCCAAATGTTCATGCTTGCTTCTCAAGTGCACCTTGAAATGTAAAAAAAAAAAATTAATAAAATAAAATAAAAGTTCAGATTTTGTTCGTTGCTTTCCTCTATCTGAAACAAAGAAGTCTGTGTCCAAGACAAGACCTTAAATCCAAGACCAAAGCTCAGAAGCATGTTTTGGTGCTCAATTTTGAGCTTGGTTTACTCTTACACATGCTTTTCTCTCTCTGCACATGGAAACATAAAGTGGTGTTATATAGAGCGACTGAAAGAAGAGAGACAGAAGAATGTTCTAAGGGGTTGTTTGGGAGGTGAAAAAGAAAGTGAAAGAAAATTGAGGTTGTGCTAAAGCTACAAGTACAAGGTCGAAGTTGAACCTGAACTCAAAGTGGCTTAAGCTGAAACATGAAGTGAAAGAAGAAGGAGAAGAAGAACATAGAAGAAGAGATTGTTCCAAAAATCACCGGGCTTATCGGGAAACGGCAGACACTGTGCCGTTTCACACTTTTATGTATGTAAGACTCCACTTCTTCCATATTTGCCCCTGCTTTTTCCTCATTTTACTCATTTACCTCCCTGCTCATTCATTATTCTCATTAATTACACCATCAATTTTATATTTATTAACACGATATAATAATCACAATAACAATTAAAGTCAATATTAAAATCAGTTTCATTTGAATAACTTTGTTCTTATACAAACAATTCTGTTTGATTTTTTCTTCTCGCCAGATTTGTGTTTGGGTGCATATAGGATTGTTTATTACTTTATTGATTATTGTTTCTCTTACTTTTTATTGTTCTCCCTTTAGGTCCCTTTGTCATGTGCCATTGGGTTTCTTTTAAAGTGGGTGACCTTTCTTTGTTCTCGTGGAAGCCTTTCAATTTTATTTTCTTTTTCTTGTAGATATAAATTTTAGTGCTGTAATATATATTTAAATATAAATTAGATGAATATAGTATTACTAGTCCTTAAATTATTTGAGAGTTTATTTAAAAAGGGTTGTTCTTTTCAAATGCTTACTTAGGATGTGATTAAAAGCCATAGCAAAATCTAATGACCCAAATCACCCAAGGAGGGGACCCCAAAACTGATTTTTATGAAAGAAATGGAAGTAAAATAAACTAATTCATTTATGTTTCGTACAACTTCCCTTTCCTTCAATCCAAGGTCAATTAATTTCAAATTCAGACAATCAACGACAGCAAGGAATTTAAAAGGCTGCGGTGTATAATAAAAATTATTATAATTATTATTGATTTGGAAATTATACTTTTTTTCCAATAAAGAATAGGACTATTTAAAATATTTTAGAAGTTACACGTTTCAACCAAAAATGGTGAAATTTGATGAAATTGTGTTAAAAAACTAGGAGCAGATCAAGTGTATTAAAAAGAAGTTTTTTATTTTTATTTTATATCTTCTACATGTGTGATATTATTCATTCTATAAAAAATATATAATTAAATTGAGTCTAATTAATTTATGATAAATAATAATGGTTTGAAACCGAGAAGAGGAGACACACAGTTGAGACTGATTTTGATGCATCCACTACTAATAAGATCATGATCAGTCTTAATAGTTTTTCTATAATTATAAGAAAACTAAGACTCATCAATCATGCTTAAAGTACTCATTAATATTACGGACTAATCCAGCAGCATGTATAAAAAGTTGGAGAGAGGAGACTTATCCCATGAAGTGACATTATCACTGCACAGAATCTTAACCCTTTTATTAAACTTCCTTTATATGATCTATTATTGTGAAATGGTAAGATTGTAAAATTATATCTAATAGAAAAACATTTCCATATCATTTTAGTCGAAGACCATGCAAGATGCCAAGCAGTTTTAACTACACCAGTACAAAGTAATTTTATCTTGACAACATCAATCCCACTGTCAAAAGTGTGTGTTTGACAGATAAGAAAAAAAAGTGAATGAAAAAGAAGACAAATAATGGTAAGTAATACTGAATCAACTTATGATTTTTACTGTTGCTTAAGACTCTCTTCTGATTGGACATTCCATAAACTCTGACACCTAAACAATATGTAAGTTGTATATTGTCTCACAGAAAGCATTTTTGATGTCATTGTCTCAAGCCAGACTAAGACCATACAAGTAATTCTGCCTTAACAACATCACTTGTAACATTAACAAACCCATCAGTGTGAGTTTAACAAACAAGAAAATGTTTATGAAAAACTATTAAAAAAATGCACATAAAACGAGAATTGATTGTATGAATCAATGGTAAGATGAAAAGACAACAAAATTTTGTTTTTTCCACTGCAGATTATCCTCTCCCAACTGGGCACTCCCTAAACACCAACATCTGAAATATATCGTAAATTGTTTATCTCATGACGATAACATTTTTCATCTCATTGTACCAAACACCGTGAAGATATAATAAGTAGTTCTGCCTTAACAACATCACCAGTGCCATGAATCTGGGTTTAATAGTACGAGTGAAAAAAGAATCAAAAGAAGAGAAATAATGAAAATAAGTTATAAGAATTAATTGTTAGATTACAAGATGATAGAAGTCGATGTTTTTTTTCATTGCAAAGGATATCCTCTCTCTCTCTATTGGCAATATGTATGTTGTCTGTCTCTCAAAAAACTATATTTGATGTCATGGTCCCGAGTAATTAAGATTTAGAGAGCATGCAGGATAGTAGTTCAGCCTATCACCAACAATCAAAAGTTTGTGGTTTTTTCTACAGATCCTCCTCTTTTGATTGGACACCCCTAAACCCCAACATGTGAGCAATATGTAAGTTATCTGCCTCAAAAAAACATTTTGGATGTCATGGTCTCAAGCAAGATAAAGAACATGCAAATCAAGTAGTCCAGCCTTAATTAACAGCATCACCAGAACCATCAAAAGTTTTTTTTTGCAGATCCTCTTTTATGTGGACATTCCTAAACCCCAACATGTGAGTAATATGTAAGTTATCTGTCTCACAAAGAAACATTTTTTATGTCATGGTCCCTAGCTAGCAAGATTAAGAACATACAAGATCTCAAGTAATCCAGTCCTATAAAAGCATCACCAGAACCATCAAAAGCTTATGATTTTTTGCAGATGCTCCTTCTTTTTTATTGGACACCCCTAAACTCAAACATGTGAGCAACATGTAAATTGTCTGTCTCAAAAAAAACATTTTTAATATCATTGTCCCAAGCAAGATTAAGAACATACAAGATATCATCCAGTCTTCAGAACATCACCATAACCATAAAAAAGCTTCTTCTTCTTTTTTATAATGCTCTCTTTTGATTAGACACATCCAAAACCCCAACATGTGAGCAATATATAAATTTGGATATCTCAAAAAAGACATTTTAATGTCATGATTCCAAACAAGATTAAGATCATGTAAGCTACAAAAGAGTTATGTTTTAATAGTATAATTAATAAGATCTTTAAATCCGCTGATCATTGAACCAATAAAATTACATGTTTAGGATTTAAAAGTTTGAACTGAGTTAAAAATTTGATAAAATAATAAAATTATTATTATTATTATTATTATTATTATAGTGATAAAGATAAATATAAAATATATTAAAAAATTTAAGATGGATAATAATTAACATAAGATGAAAATATAATTAATTAATTATTATTTTAAATTTAATATAATTAATATGTAATAAAAAATAAACTAATAAGTTTTTATTTTTTTTAAATATATTATATCTTTTATAAAATATATTAAGAAAATTATCTTTAATTTTTATTTTTATCAAAATTGACTCAATTCAAAAATTTTAATTATTTTTTTAATTTTATATTAATTAAATTAAAATTTAATTATTTAAAATAATGAACTGAAATTTAGAACGTAATTCGATCCAATTTTTAAAATAGTAATAATTAATATTATTTAGCTTATCACTAATTAAGAAATCTAAATATAAATTCTTTAATTAAAAAAATAAATAAAAATCCATTTTTTTAAATATTTAATTTTAAAAAATATATTATTATGTATTAATACTAATATTATTATTTATTAATACTATTATTTTATTCTTATTTATTTATATAATAATATAATATAGGGATGAGATTGATCACGAAATGAAATACATGAAGCATGAGATTTATTTGTGGCTAGCACATTGTTATAAGAAACTTTTTTACAAAACTCCATGCATCTATTATAGTTTTTTTTTTTCAAATTAACAAAATATTACAAGAGTGTTCTCATATAGAGAAAGGATATAAACGATAAATTTAATTTAAAAAGAGAAAAAAAATCATTAAAAAGTGGTTTAATTAAAAAAAATGAAAAGTAACTTTTTAAAGCATCATATTGTTTTTACTAACTTATTATTCTTAAATTAATTTTTTACTATTATTTTTTATTGGAATATAACCATGTAATAGTTTATGATATAACATATAACATGTTTGATAAAGTGTTTCACTAAATATTAAATTTTAATATAAAAATTAGCTTAACCTTTTCTTAAAAGTTAAACATTTAATTAATTAGTTAATTTTAAAATATAAAAAACAAAAATTAAATTGAACAATCAAATAACCGATATTTCTTTATTTCTACTCTTTCTCAATTTTTTTTTTAATTCTCCTCTATCTTGTAAATCATTTGCTGTTTTTTACAAGTTGTAAATTTTATGTTGGTGAGGATCTTTCACTGAAACTTGATGTTAATTCACACAACTCCAATGGTGTTATTTTTTGGCAAGAAACATCTTAGACAGAAAATCTCACTGTAAGATATATTTAGATAAAAACCACTCTAACCTACAAATTAAAAAGAGTCATGGAGAGGAAATAAACACTCCTAGCCTAATAATCTAGCCTGGTTAGTTGTTTCCCAAAAAATTGAATAACATGCCTTTCATATGTTCCTAATTGAATTCTTAACCCCGTATCAAAGAGGCAATTGTCTTGTCCCACTTTCCTTTTCAAATTTCATGTCTATTCGTTCAATTAAACTATAATTTTAAGTTAGATAAAATTTGGGATCTTTAAAATATATTTTTATTAAGTTAATATTTTATATACTTAATATTTAATATATATATATATATATATATATATATATATTATTCTCACATAATTTTATTACTCCTAAATTAATAATATTAATACATAATCATTCTAATTACATGTTTAGAGG